TGATCTCTCGTTGCAAATCTTGCATAACGTCATCCTTCGTATAATATGTCTTAGAAGTTTTTCAAACTACAAGGGATTGTGCCAGTCGATGTGTGCACTTCGCGGTGTTGTAAAAACATCGCTCTCCCAAAACGATATCAGTCATTTCAGTCTAATACTTAATTGTCAAAGTCTTGCATGGATGCAACTCAGCGACAGTATAACAATCGAATTGCTAATAGTGTTAGAGGGGTAGTTTGGGTTCGAGTTTCAGATGTACTTGACCAGACGGTTGCGAGAGGATGTCTACAAAGCCGGTGTACGTTGAAGGTTCGGCGTTTAATCTGTCCACTATTTTCTTGAACAAATGTTCCTCTGACGGTTATTCGAAATGTGTTTCGAGTCAAGGTGCAGGGTTTGTTTCCGGCAGCGAAATTTCATTTTATAGTTGCGTGCACTGAAGTGATGCCACGTAGCTAGCGCAGTATCGGAAAATTTGTATTTTAGCCATTCATAGATCCTATGGTTTCCTTGCGTCTTACGTTTTTTCAGTGGAATAGCAAAATGGCAAACTACAGCATTTCCATTTTCATGTCATGTTTGCTCTGAGTAACTAGAAAAGCAGAAATTTAAAACAGCAAATTAAATTCTGGTATTGGTTTATTAGCAAACAACCAGTTTCCGGTGCGGTCAATAACTTTTGTCATTTCTTTTGATAGGTACCTTTCTTCTTTTTCGTATCCCCCTATTCAGTTAAAGCAACTCACGTCTTCACGGTATTTTAGTATCTATGTGTTTGCGCCTAAAATGGAATCATTGTGTTGGGAAGGACAGAAGCATGTTCGAACAATAACGGAGGTACCTCAGTTCGACCCGTAGGCGGATATAATCGAAATCGACTCTTGTATTTTAGGTTTGCTAGCAGAGAGCTAGCTTTCATCCATGCATAGCAGGTGAGGAAATACCATTGATTCATGACCTACTTAAAGGGTATCATAAGCCGCTAGAAGCAGGAGGGATGGTGTGAATACGCTACGATGTTGAATTAGTAAAAGTGACAAGCGATTGAAACAGTTCAGTATTTCTGGTCATCATGTCTTTGTTTTCTTAGCGCTGAAAAGGTTTAGGTGTGCTTTATTTGTTGCAGCCAGTGTGCACCGTGACCCTTTCTTTACGAATGGTGGCAGAATTGCTAAGAGCAGCACAAAGAGATCTGCGTGTCTACCTATATTAAATCCCAACGGTTTTGATAAATATTCAGAAACACATAGGCATACATTTTCATGCGCTTATATACTTGGGTTGTTTTCAGGCGCAAGGAGTTTGCGTATCGACCATAATATGGCAATCAGTTAATACAAGAAGTACAAGTTCTATAGATTCCAGTTTTTATTATCCCCTTCACTTTCCTTACGGAAGGTGTACCTTTACGGAAGTTATTTCGTTTTAGTGTAGTAGGTAACTAATAAATTTTTCATTCATTCAGACACTTTATTTTGACCGCATACTTAAGATTGTCTGTTACCTTGTTTCTTTCCGCAAAGTATTAATCTAGGTGCTCGATCGCCTGGGTCTCATCCTTTGATAATTCTGCGTCAGTGCCCCATTAATTCATTACTCTTTCGTTATCAGAACCCAAAGAACGTATCTTGGTTTGTGCCCATTTTTTTTACCAATCGACACCCCTTATTTTCCCCCAAATTATCTTTTATTCTTGTGTTCCGTTGTACAGAACTCCCAAATGGCAACCCACGAATTCCCGATCTTATGTTTACTTCCATTTCTTTTGAGATCTCACTAAGGTAAATTGAAGAATCTGTAGTACTACTGCGAGAAAGTCTTTTCAGTCTTAGTTGTAGTCCTTTCGTGTGTATCTTGGGTGAGTCTAATCGGGTGTGCGTTTTATTTTCTCATGTTTCTTCACCTACTTTTTCATCGGTTCATGTTATACCATTTTTTTGGTCGTGATTGTTGAACTTATTGTCGATATATCCTTGGTTCAGTCCCGCTCGCTCTGAGCTGGCAAATGATTTCCATTTTATGGGAAAGGGAATAGGAGGTTATGCGCTTGGCGTTCCACATAGCTGGAAACTTTGTCTTTAAGCTGAGGCATTTTTGGGGCTGATGACATTAAAACGATGATCAGCTATTCGTTACAAACTTCGATGGTACTATCACGAAGATGTAAGGGATACGTTCATGACAGCTAATTCCATTTTTCTTTCCTTTATTCTGATTGGAATGTTATTAAACTATCTACGGCTAGCTATTTCTTGTGGGTGGGTTTGCAGCAACTTCAACGGGTTTCTTCCACCGTGTCGTTCGTATGTCAATCGATCGGAGTGCTGTCTAGATTGAACTGTAACGGCGATGAAGTCTATTTGCTACAGTCGAGTCATTTCCCCATAATGGTTGTCCGTCTTCCTCGTTTGATTACCTTACCACATGTTCAAATTGTAACAGTTATGTTTCTTTCGATTATGAAAAGAAGTGACTGATGGGTAAGGACGTTTCATGCCACCTTTTGAACTTTGTCGTCCAGCAGCTCGGAATCATTTGATGGCACTTTCGATAGGGGTTGAACATTCTTCTTGTAGATTAAGTAAGTTTGTAGACAGAGCAGCTAAAGATCATAATCTCAGGTTGAGTATGATTAAAACCGGTGTTTAGGTTTTTTTTCATCACCAACGGCCGGCTTAACTATCAGATTACCGTCTAGGAGTATCATGTTTGAAATTATAGTATTGGCAAACTTACTACTTATGGTAATTTTGAGTAAAAATAACTATGTTCATCAGATCATAAGCCTGCGTAATAATATGTGGTTCTATGCTATGTGTATGACATTTTCTTAATCTTTTTCTTTGCAGCATTGATTTGCAGATCTCGTGTAATCTAGCGACAAGTGTTTCAGAATATTCAAAAGTTCAATGGCACACTTGATGCCATTTAAGCAGCCACTGTGTTGTCATTCGATAGGGGAAATACTCTGTGAAATAATTCAATATGTAATGTACCAACGTGGCCAGACTCCTGTGTTGGTTCAGGAACTTTTGTCCGTAAACAAGTGGTTACCTCAGAAATGCGATGCTGATTCTCCAGATCTTCACTGCCGAACTGTAGAGGAAGTCATTGGACTTTCTAGGCAGAAAAGGTTTGTGAGTTCTTTCCTGAATCTCGAGAAGGCGATTAAAGAAACATTCCGGAGTATCAACCAGCCGTTGATTGCCGCTGTTGCGTTGGTGTTCGGTCCGTCGTTGACAAACATGGTTGAAATGTACCTGATTGACATTTCGTTCTGTAACTGTGATCCAGAAAGTTCGACGTCGTGTGTCCCCCTTAGTTGTGCTGTTCTGCAATTCGTTGTGCGCAGCATGCTCAGAATATCTGTACAAGTGCCACTGAAGGAAATCGGCGAAACGAGCTTTTTCTTTCTTACAAAGGCTCATCGCACCGCCAGCCTCGAAAAATTTTACCCCAAGCCGGGACCGCACTTGCTTACTCTGGCTACCGGGAAGCGTTGTGCTGTGGTACACATTCGTCTGTGCCATTCTGCGTGTTACACTCTCGCGAACGACCTTCAAAAGTTGACACTAAAAAGTGAACATATTACGATGCCTGGTGCGGAGTCAGAAGAGGAGCGAGCAGATTCTTATTCTCACAGTTTTGATGCTGTCACCGCTGAAGATTCAGACTTCATCTGGTTTCAGTACGAAGACGTGTTGAATGGATTCAGATGATGTCAGGATTAGGAAATGATGTATTGTGCTTTGGATTTGTTATCATTACCGTTGTCTGTTATTTTCTGCTGTTGAGTTGACTGCCTTTGTTAGAGAGACGTGTTTTGTAACTCATGATTTTTTATTATTATTCGCTAATTCGTAATCTCTAATCATACGGCGATTAAATTTTTAGTCGTTCGTTGTTTTGGTTCCCGATTCATACTCTACATTACACACTGTCCTATTATCAGTCAGTCAAGTTCGATAACAGTTTACTCTTTTGGGCTGCGTTCTATCATCCGTTTAACATTCCCGATCCTGTGCCAGAGTCTGAGCTTCGGCAGAAGACAACCGCAGTCCAACAAATTTCTTCGACACTTGCCCCAAGGTAGCACTACCATACTATCTTCATCTTCCATCACTCCTTCGCAGAGGCAGACATGTCGGACAGTGCTTCCAACGTTCCTCATTTTGTGCTAGAACCTGAGCTTCGGCAGAAGACAACTAGAGTCTGGAACAGACTCCTTCCGTATATTTGCACCACGTTAACCATAGCCGTCCCATGGGTCTTCTACCGGTCGACTGAAAAAAGCAGTTGATTAGCCTCCCTTTCTGGAAGCATTTTTAACATATCGCA